TTTGCAAAGCACTGGAGTGAATTATTTGACAACCAAAACGTCATCTTCTATGTTGTTCTGCGATTTGTTTTAAGATATAAAAAATCTATTCTTTTTTTCGAAATTAGTATAAATTTGAGTAAAAATGATCGAAATCACTTGCAACGATCGTTTGGGGAAAAAAGTAAGCATTTGTATGTAGAAATGTAAAAAAATGTTCGATCTATTTCTTTTGTGTTAGGTGCGCGTGAAATGCAATCCCGAAGATACTATTGGCGATCTGAAAAAACTTATTGCTGCACAGACAGGTACCAAATCTGAAAAAATTGTTTTAAAAAAGTGGTACACCATCTACAAGGATCCTATCCGTCTATGTGACTGTAAGTACGTCTATTAAAAACTCCTTCTATTGCCTAAATTTCACATTTCTTCCTAGATGAAATCCATGACGGCATGAATTTGGAACTGTACTACCAATAGTTTAGTTATAAAGTGAAACTTAAATACATACTTAGTTTTGATAAAAAATGTTTATTTTAAGCAGTAAAAAATAAATTTTTTGTATAATACAAAAATTGCCAAGTTTTACAAAGTACCAAAAATTATCTCAAGATCCCATACATCCATACATTCAGAAATACAACCATTCGCATATTGTCATGAGCACACAATGTACATTAGATCATCGTTGGCTGTAATTTAAAGGTAAGTGCAATTCCTCCATTAGGAAGGACAGTCCTCCTTTAGGAAGGACAGTCCTCCTTAATGAAGGACAGTCTTCCTTTATATGCTTTATCGTGTGTACATAGTATGCACTAGAGCCTTATTAATCGTGTGTATAGACTAAGCGTAAGCACCACTCTAGCACCATAGTGATACTTTCGTTGGTTGTTGTTGTTGTAACAGCACACAAATTCCCCAAAGAGTTTTTGGGGAGTGTAGCTGGAGTGACAGTCCTTGGCCAGCTATAAATCTGGGTCGTGGGAACTTTCGTTGGTTGATTGTACCGGCACACAAAAAAGTGGTGTGTGCTTTTAACCAGACCCACCTACCGACAGAAAATTTGCAGAAAATTTCCAATTTTCGCAATTATATTTAGGGAAAAGAAAAAACCAAAAAAAGTGGAAATGCCATTTCAACGATCAATTGAAGAAAGAGTTTCCTTTCCTCATATCGAAGAAAGATACATTTCAAGTACGGAAGTTAGTCTTATTTTGAATGACTTCGTCCTTCAATATAAATCTCGATTAGAAGACTTGGAAAAATTAATGGTGTTCTTTTTACTTCGTCGTAAGTAAATTGGACAGATATTCGGCCCTATTGTGGTTGTCGACCACAGTATTTTTACGGAAAGGTTTTCCTCGCGAAACAACTGTTCAGCGTAGCTGGTGTTGGATTTGCGAGGGCTATTATTTGACAAAAAAATGGCGACGACGTCGTCGTCGACAACCATAACAGAGCCGATTGCATCTTATTTTAAAATAGGCGACAATTTTGTGAAGAAATTAGAAAACTGAACATATAATAATATAAATAATTTTTTAACAATATTTCAATGTGTTACAAAAATGTTAACATAAAATATAGAGCAAAACTAAGTACACGGTATTTTTTGTTAAATATGTTTTTTAAGCTAACTTTTTTTGTTTTTTTTGTTTTATAAAAATATGGTTCATGCGTCACCAAAACCATATAAATCAAACTTTCGTTTTTGTATAGAGCTTAGAAAAATTCAACAAATTTTCATCTAAGGGCCAAATTCACAGTGCGTAGTTAACTCAGAATCGGAGTTAACTATACATTTTCAGTACAAAAATCTGTAGTTATATTCCGTTTCTGGGTTAACTACGCACTGTGAATTTGGTCCTAAATCTTCAACTTTTTAATCTAAATTTTTGATAAATTTTTGTGTTAATTTTTTTATTAGTCCGCCGTCAGCAAAAAAAAAATAATAAAAATCAACGCGATTTTTTATCAACTTGAAACTTCCACCTCATCAGACTAAAATTGTATGGGCAATAAACTTCCATGTACAAATTTTTTTTTTAATTCAGATAAAAAAGTTGAAAACTTTGATGAAAATTTGTCTAATTTTTCTAAGCTCTGTGTAAAAACTGAAAGTTTGATTTATATGGTTTGATTAAAGCATGAACCATATTTTAACAAAAAAAAACCTTGAAAATATTTAACATGTAGCATGGACATTTTGGAAATAAAAGAACTTTACATTCCGGAATTCATCCACTCTCAAATAAAATACCTACATACAATACTGCAGCACTGTTTGGAATTTGCAATACTGTTGCAATACACCGAACGCGATGCAGCTGTGATTGCAACTCCACGAGCCCAACGTAAGCAGAGCTGTTCACTATCATACATAGATTAGCAACTTTTGAATTATGTACATACATACATGTGTAGTTAAGGCATTAGTTTTCAGAAATATTATAGTAATTGAAAAGCAAAGCCCAAGAATTAGTCCTTAAATTACATAAATATTGTGGGCATGATACAACATTTATGTACATACATACATATATACATAATTTTGAAATTTGAAAGTTAAAAAAGACAGATTCGTACATACATATTACCTAAGTATTTCAATCATACATTTACCATATACATATATTTGTTTCTTCACCCAATGAACAACATAACGTCCGAGCTTGCCAATAGTTTTCAGAACTTTGCTTGCGTGTCAGCTCCGGCATGCGCTTTTTATACCTTCGTTGTATATAAGCAAACGCTTATTTAAAACAAATATATATGTATATGCAAACAAAAATATATATATATATAAAGTATATATACATACATATATGTATGCACATGTTGCTACCCAGCTAGCACATTTGCCAGACAATTTCTGATATCAGTCAAGTCGGAATAAAAAGTTGACTATTTAGACAAGTCTTACAGGTTTCGTACAGATTTCTAGGCAAAATGTCTGGAGAATTTTATTTATTTCCTTATCCGATATGTCTGATCGAATTATGTCCGATTTCTGGCATACACGTCTGATAATTCTTATTTTCCATGATTATTTGATCAGACATCTGTTAGATATCCGTCAGAATCGTCGGTAATTAAGTCAGAATTTCCTACGTCGTGTCGGTTAGACTTCCTGTCAACCTCTCCATACGCTTCTCTGACCGATATCGGCCAAAATCATACAGATTTCTGGCTTTTTTTGCGGACGAGTCTGACGGATATCTAACAGATTTCTGGCAATTTTGCTAGCTGGGTACTTGATCATGTGCATTAATTTTTATACACTTAATTCACTACTACTTGGGTATGCACTATGTACATACATATGTATGCATTTATGAATATGCATCGTTTGTGTTTCTGCGAAGTACAGTATCATTAGAACAACGAAATATTTCGCGGCTATATTTGCTGAACTATTAATATCTCAAGTTTCAAATGGCCGTCTGATTTTAAGGTTTCGCCCCTCTAATGCATAAAATAGCTATATATGTATGTGTATGTATGTAGTATAACAGTGAATTGGTTAGGCAAAGAGAACGTGTTTCCTTATTCGTTAATGTTAACCTTTGTCAAAAAGCTGAGCCGATATACCAAATTCCCCTCGTACCTTACTCAGCCAAGATGCTCGTATATAAATTCAAGGTTAATTAATCTGCTAACATACTTTTTTTTAAACCGAAATTTTAAGATACCCAGAAAACTTAACACTTCGCTCACCCTTATTTTTATTTTTACTAATTCTGATTTTATTTTGAATTTTTCATCATGATGAAAACACTGTACCAATGCAAACACTGAAGCAGTTCTGAGAAGCGAAGGGCTATAGCGGGGCTGCAGAAAAATCGCGAAAGTTTAAAATGCTCATTTTGTTGTGCTTCGGCTAATTATATATTAGTTAATTTTTTTCTAAAACTAAAATCATAACTTTGAAATTCACATTTATACTAAGCTATTTCATCAAAAGTCAATAGATATGTGCATATGCATTACTTTAATATATTTGAACATACATACATATCGCACACCATCTTCAAAAAATGCACAACTTAGAAAAAGTTTCGGTCGATTTTTTTTTTGCATAAATCAATTTATAGCATTCATCTCCAATTAATGCAAATATTTTTTTTCTTCATGATTATATTCTCAAAGTAGAAAACTACTGTCATACCGGTTTTTGTAATAATTGAGATCCACAAGCAAATATTTAATAAATAGCAATAGTTGCGAATTTCTTCCAAATGGAGTTTTTTTTTATCAAACAGCATTTTTAATTAAACGCTGTACTAATTGTTTTGGATTATATTAGATGGTAAGTGGTTTGCTGATTTTTGCAAAAAGCTGTATTTCGAAAGCAATCGAGTTATTTCATTTCAATATATATTAATTTACCGATAAGTGTACTTCCCAATTGCTGATACGCTTATTAAAGATATATATGTATGTGAATATATATGCAGTGACGAACAAAAGTATTGACACAGTGAATTTTTCGCAATATATGCAAAGTTTTTTATTCTAATTTATTTTCGATAATTTTTCATAAAAATATAGTTAATTTTACACCCAAAAACATAAAAATGAAATCTCTAAACTTTGTGCAAAACTCAGGAAAATTCAATAAATTTGCACACTAATTTGCAACTTTCTTTTTAGATCCTTTAGAAAAATTCTATGTATGCTGTTTTATAGCCCATTTAAATTTAGTATAACAAAGTGCAAGTTTGAAGTCGCTAGAAAATCGCGTTGATTTTTGCAATTTTTTTAGTGGAAGGTGTTGCTCATTTTCTCCATACAAAAAATAATTGTCGAATATACTTTGTATAGAAGAACTTGCGTGAAAAAATTACCAAAAATTAACGCGATTTTCTAGCGACTTCAAACTTGCACTTTGTTATATTAATCTGAATGGGCTATAAAACTGCATACATAGAACTTAGAATTTTTCTAAAAAATCCGAATAAAAAGTTGCAAATAGTGTGCAAATTTAATGAATTTTCCTGAGTTTTTCACAAAGTTTAGTGATTTCATTATCATGTTTTCTGGTGTAGAATGAACAATATTTTTATAATAAATATCGAAAATAAATTAGAATAAAAAACTTTGCATATATTTCGAAAAATTCACTGTGCCAATACTTCTGTTCGGCACTGTATATACGATATAATGTTGGCACATAAAGGTGTCGTCATGACGCATAAAAGGGGAATTGCTTAGTACTTGGATTAGTATATATTAGTAATAATAAAATGCCTTATGTACATACATATGTATATTAGGGTGGTCCTTAAAAAATCAAATGTGCAATTTTTTTTCAGCCTCACCCCTTCAATCGGTAATACCACGGTCAAAGATATCAAATTTTGGTCCCGATTGGAGTCGGTTATGGAGTGTGGCAATGGGGTCCAAGGCCATTGCTCCATTGAGACTCAAAAAATTAAAAATAATTTTTTCATTTAATACCCAATATCGATACGACTAAAGTCGAAGATATGATATACAAATTTTGGTCCCGGTTGGAGTCGGTTAAGACGTCTCCATAGGGTAATCAAAATTTTCTCCATAGGGTAATCTGAAT